AGATGTACTTTCTATAGTCCAGGTGTACTTTCTATAGCCCAGGTGTACTTTCTATAGCCCAGATGTACTTTCTATAGTCCAGACGTACTTTCTATAGTCCAGATGTACTTTCTATAGTCCAGGTGTACTTTCTATAGCCCAGGTGTACTTTCTATAGTTCTGGTGTACTTTCTATAGGAGGAAAAATTAAAAAACATTAAGCTAGAAATAATTACAAATACAAACAGTTAGAGTAGAGCAAGTAAAGACAGCAGAGAGAGAAAATGTGGTCAGTTTGTCCTCCAGCAGTCTAAGCCTATAGCAGCAAAACTAAGGGATAGCTCAGGAAACCCAAGCTAACCCTAACTATAGGATTTATCAAAAAGGAAAATCTTAAAACTGGACAATGTGTCAGCCTCACTGACAGAAACTGGAAGTTGGTTCCACAAGAGAGGAGCCTGAGAACTGAAAGATCTTCCTCCCATTCTGCTTTTGGAAACTCTAGGAACCACGAGTAAACCTGCAGTCTGAGAGCAAAGTGCTCTGTTATTAGCAGCCAGTTAGCAGTCAGGGCTGTTGCATGCCAGTGCATGGTGGTTCTGCTGAATTCTGGTTTCTACAGTTATCTTGTTGTTGTTGTGACTTATGAAGCCAAGATACTTTATTTGGAAATATTTCATTGTCATGGTTGAGCCACCTGTTTTAGTTTCTGCTTTTTGTTAGTTGGGATTGTGTATTTTGTTTTGGACATTTCACTTTTGTCCTCAGTTGGTTTATTTTTCAGGAGACAAGTTATTATTGCAGTTTTCAGTTCATTGTTGTGAAGAATTCAGGTTATTGTTGTGTTTTGTTTATTGTGTTGCACTCGGACCGTAAAAATGTCTTCACTTTTTTCATTTTAAACAAAGATTTGGGTTTTGTCCTTTGTGTTGCATCCACAACGAGCCAGGATGTAACAGACTTGGGCGCTCGTCCAGGATGTCCCTGTAAACGTGCATGTGTGAAGTAAAAGCAGCATGGACACAAACTGTCGAGCTCTTTGTTGCTGTCACTTATAATACTTAATATGGCTGATGGATAAACATTACTTTGAACTTTGTTTAAATAAAAGCAAAATACAACATTTTCAACACTTTCTAGGAAAACGTGAACAAATTAAATTTGTGCTTGTGTGATACTTTACCAGCAGCCAGGATTCACGCTGCCCCATGTGACTGTTTTACAGTAGATTAACACGTATTCATACTCACTCTATTCTTCTACATTTTCTTTTTTACATGAAGTGGAAGGAAAATTATTTTCAACCTTTTCTTTTACAAAAAAAAATCTGAAATGTGTGGCATGCAGTTGTATTGAAAAGTGTATTTTCAACACTGAAAATATATAATGTATATTAAATGAACATTTAATATAACATTTCACATGTGCTGAATTCTTTGGCCTTCTCTGAAGACATAGAAGGCCCCGAGGGTTCCCAACTAGCTTTCAGCAAAGTTTGGGCCGATTGTGGACATCCTCATGGCACTGACAGGCCTGGCAGTCAGTCAGACGGGCTACAAGGATAACATCTGGAGAGCTGGTGCAGGAAGAACAATTGTGAAGAAGACAAAAGAGAAGGTTGTGGACTTCAGAAGGAACAAGCACACCTACACCCCATCCCTGAGCATAAGAGGAGCTGCGTTGGAAATGGTCTCCAACTACAAGTACTTGGGTGTGCACCTGAACAACAACCTCAGCTGGAGCAACAACACCACCAGCCTGATGAAGAAAGATCATCAGAGACTCTACTTCCTCAGACGGCTGAGACGAGCTGGTCTGGAAGCTCAGTCCTCACCTCCTTCTACAGGTGTGCAGTGGAGAGCATCCTGTGCTCCAGCATCAACGTGTGGCATGGAGGCTGCACAGCTGCAGAAAGAAAAGCTTTGCAGAGAGTGGTGAAGGCTGCACAGAAGATGTTGGAGTCAGCCTCCCCACCATCACAGACATCTACACCTCTAGATGCAGGAAGAGGGCCACCTGCATCATGAAGGACCACACTCACCCAGCACACACACTTTTTGCCCCGCTCCTCTCAGGAAGGAGGTTGAGGAGCATTAAGTGTAGAACCACTAGACTGAGGAACAGCTTCTACCCTGAGGCTGTTGGACTCGTGAATATTTAATCAGGAGAATCACTGTGATGTCACTTGGTTATTGAAATGTGCTGCTGATCTCATGCTGCTGATTTATTTCATGTTGCTGTGTTCATTAGTCCTCATCTGCTCACACAGACTCATGTTCGTGCTGCTGTTGTTTTGTTGCATTGTTTTGTACTACTAGTGCTTAGTGTATTTTTAGTTTAGTGTATCTCCTAGTTCATGTCTTGGATCTTATTACTGTTTTTCTTTACAATTTGTATTTTGGTTGGATGTAACTGGGACCCTGTGTACATAGTTTCGTTCCACCTCATGTACCACATGTGATGAGAATGACAATAATGAACCTTGAATCCTTGAATTATTGTCACATTTGAACAGTGTCCTTTCTTCTCGGCTACAAGTAATGCCAGCAAAGAAAAGATGGGAGATGGAACACAGCTCTGAGGTAGTCCAGTTTTTAGAATGATGTCCCTGGATTTAAAACCATAGAAAAAGACATGTTGTCTGTCCTTTACAAAGTCCTTTATCCATAAAACTAGTGCGGGGGAAACCTGAAGGTTGGAAAAGCGATGCAACAGAGTATTGCTGCTTACAGTGTTGAAAGCTGATGAGAAGTCCATAAATAAACTCCTGGTGTGTAAAGTCCAGTTGCATGGTGACTGCTTCCAGAAACATGAGACTTGCATCCTCGGTACTTTGTTTTGCCGCGTAGGCAAACTAGAGTAGACGATAAGATGACAACAACAATAAAAGGATGTAAAACACGGAGTGTAGAGAGAGAAAATACAGTAGAAGAGTGGTGAAATACGGTCATTATGTCCTCCAGCAGTCCAGGCCTACAGCAAAATAACGGATAGCTCATGAAACCCAAGTCAACCCTAACTATAGGATTTATCAAAAAGGAAAGAGAGTCACACTCAGATACTTGGCGCTCTGCCGGACCACTTTGAAGAACCTGGTAATGCATTTGGGCCTTACGAACTCTGCAGCTGTTTTCTACACCCTAATGAAGAATGTATTAAAACACGTTTATTTTGATGAAATCCAGATCTTTTAAAAAATGAAACAAAACTCACAAAAAAAGTTGAATCATGACTGTTTCTTTTTGGAATAAACACTGGTCTTTCATCCAAAAGACTTCATCAGAAAGAAAAACTACTTTACCACAAACTTTACAATGTTGACCCTTGAAGACTTCTACAATTCACTTCGCCATGCTGGAGATCAACTTCTGGGCAAGATCTTCAGTGATGGCAACCCATTCATGTCTAGTCAGTGCTTGGAGTTGATCAAAGCGTCTGGGTTTATCTTTGTCCACCCTCTTTTTGAGGATTGACCACAGTTTCTCTATGAGACTGAGATGTGGGAAGTTTCCTGGCCATGGACCCAGAATTTGGTTATCACTTTTGGCTTATGTCTTGGTGCTCCACCATGCTGGACAAAACATTGTTCATCTGCAAATTGCTCATGGATTTAGGAGAATCTGCTCTTGGAGGATGTTTTGATACAATTCCTTATTCATGGCAGTGTTCTTAGGCAAAGTTTTGGATGAACCCACTGCCCTGCATGAGAAGCAAGCCCACACAGGAAAGGTCTCAGGATGCTTCTCTGTTGGCATGACACAGGACTCATGGTAACTCTCACCTTTTATATCTCCAGACAGTCATTTTTCCAGATTTCCCAAACATTCTCCTTCTACATGTCACTTCATCAGTGCAGTTACAGCGTGCGCTCTCAAGACATAATTACCTGCAGCGTCCCCTCAGTGCAGACTGAACTTGGTAAAAGGGCCTTCTCTTAATCTGCTCCTGGAATTCCTTACAAAAAGATCTGAAGTTGTCGCCCTTGACCTCTCTAAGGGACTTTAAACTACTGTTAAGTTCATGGCAATGACACACTGACATGTTCCTGTTTTAAGTATTCTACAACTCTTTATAATGTTGCTGTTTTTGTTTGGTTTTTATGTAATTTCTTTTATTTACTTTTCATTTTATTTTAGCATTTTATGCTAAAACTGTCTGGGTTTGAGAGAAACAGGAAACAAGGACAGATACACAATGGAAGGTTGAGAATAACATGTTCAACATATTCACTTGTAACAATTCATTTTAAGAAATGAGGTCAATTTATCCTCCAGTAGTCTAAGCCTATAGATAGATGCAGTAGATGTATACTTTGTTGTTCTCAAGGGGAAATTTGTCTTGGACATGGTGTGCTAAACAAAACTTCTTCCACAGCTAAATACACTACAACATATGCGTCAAACTCAAGGCCCGGGGGCCAAATGTGGCCCTCGATGACATTTTATCTGGCCCCCAAGATGTTATTTTAAACGTAAAATACTTTTGTTACTTTAATTTTTTTCAGTGACTTTTGATTATGATGTCAAAAATGCAACAGAGAACATCAAATGATTTATCAAAGAGGAAAGTCTTAAAACTGGACAATGTGTCAGCCTCACGGACAGAAACTGGAAGTTGGTTCCACCAGAGAGGAGCCTGAGAACTGAAAGATCTTCCTCCCATTCTACTGCTGGAAACTCTAGGAACCACAAGTAAACCTGCAGTCTGAGAGCGAAGTGCTCTGTTAGGAAAATATGGAACAATAAGATGTGTAATATAAGATGGAGCTAGGTTGTTGAGAGCTTTGTAGGTTAGAAGTAAGATTTTGAATTCTATCCTGGATTTGACAGGGAGCCAATGGAGAGAAGCTAAAACTGGAGAGAGATGATCTCTCCCAGTAACTCCAGTTAAGACTCTGGCAGCAGCATTTTGGATCAACTGAAGACGTTTTAAAGAAGTATTTGGACACCCAGATAATAAACCATTGCAATAGTCCAGTCTAGACGTGACAAATGCATGGACCAGTTTTTCTGCATCATCTTTAGATCAGATGTTTCTAATGTTAGTGATATTACGCAGGTGGAAGAAGGACTGGTAATCTCATCCTGAGGTGTTCACTTATCGTCACAACCAACACCCTGACGTTCTCCTTTTCCCCCAAATAAAGTTTTTTAGAAAATGTATTTGTTGTTGGTGTTTGAGTCAGCAAATTTAAGTTCTGCTAAAATAAATAAATTCATGACACTTTAACGTTTCCTAATATGCAACACTTCATTATTTACAATAATTGTCTTAACGTTATTTGGAAACAGGATAAGTGTTTACTTGTTTGTTTTCGTGTCACCTAGGCAACGACTCCTGGCATGGGCTTTGTAAAGATTCACGCTCCCTGGAATGTTCTTTGTCGAGAGGCTGAGCTAATGAAGCTAAAGATGCCCACCAAAAAAGTAAGACTGGTGTCGTTTTTATTATATGAAGATGTTTCTAATGCTTTTAGGATGAACGTGTGCCACAGAGAAGGTTTGTCTGAAAGTTTTGCTCATCTGTTCGCAGTTCATTCAGTTAAGTTTGACACACAAATGTGTAACTGCATGTATCACGTGCTGCTTGTTTGGTTTCTAAAGAACTATTTAGGCAGCAACAGAGTTCACGTTTCGTACAAAATGAACAAACTACCGGGTAAACTTTAATAGACACAAAAAATAAAAGTAATATAATCAATCAAACATGACTTGGAAAAATAACTTTTAGTTAAATATTTTTTTCAAAAACATGTAATTAAAAACAACAACATTCAATTCAATTCAGTTTATTTCTATAACTCCAAGTCACAACAGAAGTCGTCTCAGGGACTGAACAAAGATATTCACACATGCATAAAAAGTCAATTAGTAAAAGTTCTCCATGTGAGGAAGCAGCAGATTGAGTTGAACCGTCGCTTCATCACAGTCTCTCATCCTGAACAAGCACAGAGGAGACAGTGGAAAGAAAAACTCCCTTTGACAGGAAGAAACCTCCAGAAGAACCAGGATCAGGACGAGAGGACATCTGCTTCAACCAGCTGGTTTGAGAGGACAGGAAGTAGAAACAGACAAACACAGAATGACAGATCCAGGTGTACTTTCTATAGTCCAGGTGTACTTTCTATGGTCCAGGTGTACTTTCTATGGTCCAGGTGTACTTTCTATAGTCCAGGTGTACTTTCTATAGTCCAGG